GAGTCATTTTTAAGACTATTAGAGTCCTCTTAAAGACTGTTGGAGTCCTATGAAAGAAAAGTCAAGTTCTCTTAAAAACTAGTGGAGACCTTTTAAAGACTAGTGGAGTCCTTTTAAAGATTAGTGGAGTCCTCTTAAAGACCAGTTGAGTTATTTTTAAGACTATTAAAGTCCTCTTAAAGACTAGTGGAGTCCTCTTAAAGACTAGTGGAGTCCTCTTACATACCAGTTAAGTCATTTTTAAGACTATTTGAGTCCTCTTAAAGACAAGTGGAGTCCTCTTAAAGACTAGTGGAGTCCTCTTACAGACCAGTTAAGTCATTTTTAAGACTATTAGAGTCCTCTTAAAGACTATTTAAGTTTTCTTAAAGACTAGTTGAGTCTTTTTATAGACTAGTTGAGTCCTTTTAAAGACTAGTTGAGTCCTCTTAAAGACTAATCGAGTCATCCTAAAGACTAGTGGTGTCCTGTTAAAGACTAGTTGAGTCCTCTTCAAGACTAGTGGAGTCCTCTTAAAGACTAGTGAAGACCTTGTAATGACTAGCAGAGATCTTTTAAAGACTAGTGGAGTTCTCTTGAAGACCGGTTGCATCCTTTAAAAGACTAGTGCTGTCCTCTTAAAGATTAATTGAGTCCTCTTAAAGACTAATCAAGTTCTCTTAAAGACTAGTTTAGTCCTCTTAAAGGCTAATGGAGTTCTAGTAAACACTAGTCGAGTCTTCGTAAAGACTAGTTGAGTCCTATTAAAAACTAGTGGAGTCCTGTTAAAGACTAGTGGAGTCTTGTTAAAAACTAGTCAAGTCCTCTTAAAGACTAGTAGAATCATCTTAAGACTAGTGGAGTCTTCTTAAAGACTAGTGGAGTCCTCTTACAGACCAGTTGAGTCATTTTTAAGACTATTAGAGTCCTCTTAAAGACTGTTGGAGTCCTATGAAAAACAAGTCAAGTTCTCTTAAAAACTAGTGGAGACCTTTTAAAGACTAGTGGAGTCCTTTTAAAGATTAGTGGAGTCCTGTTACAGACCAGTTAAGTCATTTTTAAGACTTTTAGAGTCCTCTTAAAGACTAGTGGAGTCCTCTTAAAGACAAGTCGAGTTCTCTTAAAAACTAGTGGAGACCTCTTAAAGATTAGTGGAGTCCTCTTAAAGACTAGTCGAGTCTTCTCAAAGACTAATTAAGTCCTTTTAAAGACTAGTTGAATCCTCTTAATAACTAATCGAGTCCTCTTAAAGACTAGTGATGTCCTCTTAAAGCCTAGTCGAGTCCTCTTGAAGAGTAGTCGAGTCCTCTTGAAGACTAGTTGAGTCTTCTTAAAGACTAGACAAGTCCTCTTACAGACCAGTCAAGTCGTTTTAAAGAACTAGTTGAGTCCTTTTAAAGACTAGTCGAGTCCTCTTAATGATTAGTGGAGACCTCTTAAAGACTAGTAGAGATCTCTTAAAGACTAGTGTTCTCTTAAAGACTAGTCGAGTCCTTTTAAAGAGTAGTGCTGTCCTGTTAAAGACTAGTTGAGTCCTCTTAAAGACTAATCAAGTCCTCTTAAAGACTAGTTTAGTCCTCTTATAGACTAATTAAGCCCTCTTATAGACTAGTGGGGTCCTCTTAAAGACTAATAGAGTCCTCTTAAAGACTAGTCAAGTCTTCTTAAAGACTAGAAGACTACTCAAGTCCTATTAAAGACTAATGGAGTCATCTTAAAGACAAGTCAAGTCCTCTTAAAGACTAATGGAGTCCTCTTAAAGACTAGTCAAGTCCTCTTAAAGACTAGTGGAGTCCTCTTAAAGACTAATTGAGTCCTCTTAAAGACTAGTTGAGTCCTTTAAAAGACTAGTCGAGTCCTCTTAAAGACTAGTGGAGTCCTTTAAAAGGCTAGTCGAGTCCTCTTAAAGACAAGTCGATTTCTCTTAAAGACTAGTTGAGTCCTTTAAAAGACTAGTTGAGTCCTCTTAAAGACTAGTCTACTCCTCTTAAAGGCTAATGGATTTCTCTTAAACCATTTGATGTAATAACTTTCTGTGAGGCATTAAACTCTTTAGATGTCTGGATCTCCACTACTATAAACTGTGAATGATTTTTTGTATTTCTCAAAGATTTAATTATACAGAAATTTTGGTGGATTCCCCAGTATGTATTCTTTAACTGCATCCAATATAAGAAATACAACACAGAAACAATTATTTGTTTTTTTTGCTTGAGTACTAGTCAGAGACAATGTCAGGAACAAAAATCTGGAAATATATCGAATTTTTCATAGCAGTTGGTCTCAGAAAAGACCAGAAACTAAATTTGGTGAAGCCGATGGCCGAGACCAAGATAAGTCTAAGACAATAAAGAAAAACATCTGGAGTCCAAGACTGGACTTGAGTACTACAGCACTACAATTGGCGACTACAAGTGAGGGTTAAATCGTTTCTAATGGTCGTGAACCTGTAGTGCAGAAGAGAACAAAATACAGCTGATGCTTAAGGGGAAGCGAAAACACACACACACGCTCTATCACTCTCCCCGGTGTCTGCATCCGCCTCATTCCTCTTCCATCTATCCGTCCTCATGCCCCCCCACCCCCGTATAGTCGGAGGGTGTGTGAGAGAGACAGACAGACAGACAAACAGACAGACAGACAGACAGACAGACATAGCCTACACAGAGAAGAAAGGCAAGTGAGGGAAAAAAGAATTAGATGCTCTCATTCACTCCTACACTACTAACAAAAATACTCTCACGTGACTGCTTTATCCCACACAGTCTATAAATCCTCCCTGCATGCTCCACACACACACACACACACACCACACCACACACACACACACACACTCACACTGAAGTGGGAGTGAGGATATTTGACTGGTCATTGACTTCACCTTAAACAGCCCATATCACTCTTCTGAAAAGTCAAAAACTGACGCAGTTTATAGAGGACAATATGCTGCAACAAAGTCAATTTGAAATCTTTCTTTTTTTCTCTGAGATGTGCATTGAAAGTTGCCCACTGAAAATCTTCAGCTGAAAATGTTATAAAGAAGCACTTTCAGTTTTCAGGTGAAAAATCAAAATGAAAAATAATTAAAGAGGCCTAAAAAGAAATGTCAAAATCTAAGATTTGTGTTGTGCGTATTGATCATCCCAATCGATATGCACAACATAAAACAACAGATTCAAAAAGTCCCAGTTAGCACACCAATGACATCAGTAGCCTCCGTTTTTGAACAATTTATAGAGTGAAAAATTCAGTCCACTGCAGTTTCGCTCTGCCCGATGAAGTGATAACGAAGGTTTTTGTTTTTTTTTAACCAGACTACTTTTTGAATGAAGCGCAACACAGAGCAGCCAATCAGAGGTCAGTTACATGTATTAGTCTTAAAAGCCTGTTTAACTCTACAGGACAAAGAAAGGTTGGAAAATAGTGAATGTTAGAAAAAAATTATGACTGGTTTTGGAACACAAACCCATACGAATGTCGTAAGTACACCTCAGTGAAAAATAAAAAATACAAAAAAAAAGGAGAATGTGGGCCCTTTAAGTTTTGGACTAGAGCTACAAGGCTAATGTAGCTAACAAGCTAACAAGCTACATGACACCATACCTGTTAGCATCAAGCAAACTAAACATCTATTTCATCATACATTTGCCTCAAACCACACTGATTTGTTGAGTAATCTAATACAGACTTCCTTATCTAGCACTGTGTATGATCTGTAAAAATGGACAAAAATGGACACATTGTGTAGCTAAACACATCTTTAAACCTGACTTTTGTCCATTTTCATAGATAACAGAGTTAAGAAATCACATAAGCAAGAGACTCACATAAACACTCAACTTGGTTTAAGGCATGTATGTGATATGATTCAGGCATGATGCTAATGCGCTTCTATACCTTGTTAGCTAATTTAGCCTCATAGCTGTAGAGCAAAACTTAAGAAGTCAGCTTCAGATACCAAACATGTCTTGGCAGATTGACCAGTTTTGGGTGTAATGAGGGGAAAATGTTGAAAATCATGAATGACACACTCTAGTTACATATTCCATCATGTATTTTTGGCACACAAGGTTTGTTTCTTTTGTTTTGCATTATAACTGCAAAGCTAATGTAGCTACCAAGCATGAAAGCCAATACTCCACCAATTAGCAATGTACCAACAGCAAACCTAAATCATCACACACTTGCCTCACAAACCACAGTGAACTGTTAAGTAATCTTAGACAGATTTGCTTATCTAGTAAGTGTATGATCTGTATCATGTGTCAGGCTCCAGTCCTCACAGGCCAAAACACTACAGACTTCAGCATGGTGCCTCATTAAACAGACCTGATTCAGCTCATCAGCTAATTAGCAAGGCCTTCATTAACTGAAATCAGCTGTGAACTGAATGTATAGGTGGCTAATTAGTTCACTATATGTTTTCATTACTTGTTAGCTGCACTAGCCTCATAGATCCAATGCAAAACTAAAGAAGCAAACTTCAGATCTCAAACATATCTTGGTTGATCAACTACATTTGGTATAAAGGGGAAATTGTCATGACCAGTCATGGTTTATAATATGAATGACATAATCTGGTATCATATTCCAGGGTAGATCAGATATATTTGGCATCCAAAGCAGGCCTCCTGTGTCTCACATTAAAGCTACAAAGCAAATGTAGCTAACAAGCATGGAAGTCTATACACTGTAAGCCTTTTATAGATAACAGTATGTCATCCAGTGTGAGAAATCACATACACAAGGGTTTACAACTGGACATGGTTTGTTTAGGCATGCAGTTAGCACAACGCTAAATGGTGCAGTATAAGATTCTATTACTCATTAGCCACAATAGCCTTGTAACGTCAGTGCAAAGCTAAAGAAGTAAACTTTAGACACCAAACTTGGCTGATCATACAAATATATTTGATGTAGTTATATTAGATTTTTGGCTTTATTGTTTTTTCTCTACTTCTGTTTTTATTATTTTTCAAACTCATTGTGTTTCATAGCATGAATGACACACTGGCTACATATTCCAGGTTTGATTTGTACCTCTATTTATTCCAAAGTTGAGGAGAGCTGCAACCTCAGAGCTGTTGATTTCTGACACAGATACATGCATTCATTTATCCAGTTTACAAACGCAGCCCCCAGAGTAGTGGCTGTGGAGACGCTGGCATCGTAATGAAGACCATTACACACTTCAGGGACTCGAGCCTCGTCTCTTTTGCCAGATTTAACTGGGGAAAGCCCCCCCGTCCAGGCTTCAACAGGGAAACAGAACAGAACACCAGCGTAACTGACATAACGGCTTACGGTCACCCATCTAAGATGGCCGCCGCTATGTGGGGCTTCCCTCAAGCTTCAGTTTTTTAAATGACGATTTCGAGGGCACAAAAATGACCATCGCAAGCCAGGCAGACATACAACCGAATAACTCTCTGAAGAGGTTCAGTGGGAGCTATGTTCGGCCTCTTACAGGTCACCAGCCTGCCCACCACACCCTGATTTCCGCTTGACCAATCGGTATCCAATAGGGCAACGTGACGTGGACAGTAATGATCTGATCTTTAAATGCCACAGCCTGGTGTTCGTACTCTTTTTTCCACTTGTCTCCGCCGTTCTCCAATGAATTCTCCGATGGCTGAACGACACTGATTCTGTTTCACGATACAGAAAATAACACTAAAGGCCTTTGTTTTCTGCATGTTTGGCAAAAGTGTTGCTACATTACCATGTTTTCCTCTCTCGTTTCATCTGTTTTGATATCAAACAGGGATTTGAAAACCATAGTTTTATGACAAACTAGCCCCGCCCCCTTCCAAAGAAAATAACATAACATAAAAAAAGCCAAATCCAGACATACTGAGGCAGTCAGTAAGAACATTGGTGCTAATTGTACAATAGTGCTCTGGATTAATAACTAGCTTTTAAAACAGAGTCTTGAGTTTACATTCTCTAACGCAAATACAGCATTCCTCCACACGTGGACAAACAGAAACACAAAACACGTAAATTAAAATGATTGTACATTTTTCTGTTTGGCGGTTAAGAGTTCCCGAAGTGTCCGACAAAGGACGTGACTCTAAATAAGAAGTCAAACGGTTCCAGAACGGAACATAGAGAACAAACGGACAAACGGAAAAAGAATAAAATAATAATAAAACTAAGCAACGACATGCTGCCACGGCAGTTTATTTTTGGTTCAGAAGAAACAGCTTCGTTCTCATATAGTGCCTTCTCTTCTCTCCCCGTTTGGAGAGATTGTTTGTTTATTTGTTTCTGTATTTGTGGCCAGTGTTTACAAGCCCGCAGCAGTCCGAGTGGGCGGTGGCATTGCGGTTGATTGGCAGTCCATTATTTTAAGCGAGGCAAAGTCCAACTCGTGCGATGTCCTACTGAAACCAGCGGAACGGAGCTCCGGTGGGCAGCATCACCTTCTTGGAAACACAGGAGAGTAAACAAGGAGGGGAGGGATAGTGGGGGAGGAGAGAGAGAGAGAGAGAGAGAGAGAGAGAGAGAGAGAGAGAGAGAGAGGACAGTGGTGGTCAGTGAATCATTCATTTTAGGCCGTGTTTTAAAATAGTCACAGTTATCACAAATATATCGTAACTGTTGCAAAAAAACACTTGCACGTCCAAAAGGAAACTTAACAGGGAAAAAAAAAACTCTCTGAACTCATAATGGAAGATAACAGAACTGGAATATTTTCTGAGTAATTTTGGACCATTTCTATTGCTCCATTCACTATGAAACTTAAATATATTGTAAAGGGCAGATGACATTTTCAACTTTGTTAAAAAAAGACAAAGATATTGTTCTGACAGCAATAATATGGGTTATTGTTATACATTATACTCTGCAAATACTGTAGTAATACTCTGTATTCAGTGTTAAGTTTTGGTTGGAAACAAAGTGGTTATAATCTTCATACACCCAATGGAAAATTAGCGATTTGGATGTTTTTCTCCATCATATCTAGGCAGGTACATGTGAATTCTCCCGTTGGTGAAGACCTTTGGCGGGCAGGACCATTTTCTTGGGAAAAAAATGTCACTCTAGCCCTTCTGAGGGTTCTAGATACATCACTGACAGTGAATACGAGCCATAGCCTAACTAGGTTTCAGTCAGTTATGTAAAATGGAAAACAGCAGTGTCAGCTCTCTGCCAGGGTACTTTATGGAAGAGTCATTGTAAAACTGCTAAACAGAATTTAAAAAGTATGTGTGTTACAAGCTTCAAACAAACACAGAATGTCTGATTCAAATGTCCACATTTAAGTTAGAACAGCCAAAAAAGTCCATGCAAACCACCATTAAGAGCTAACATACTACTGCAAGCTCCATAGAGGCGCTAACAGAAATGAACATTATCACATAGGCTACGTTCACATTACAAGCCTCGTTGTTCAAATCTGATTTTTCGCTCAGATCCGAACTCTCTGACACGATGGTTCACACTCGTTTAGGTAGCTGATTCAAATCTGTCATTAATGTGAACGAACCGGCGTCCTGAAATGACCCTCATGTGCACATCCTACTCAGTAACGTCACGTGAATGAATCACGTGCATCATCAGCACAGACTAACGAGCAGAACGAGCTTCGCTGTGAAGATAATTAACTCTGATCGGCTCTCAGCTTCAATATTAGAGCCAGACGAAGGTGAAAAAGGTGAGATGAGCTGCTTTTCCACTGTTTACAGGCTTCAACTTCTGTTCGGCGCTGCTGCCATGGTAACGCTGAATGATGGAGCACGCGCAGTGGAAAAAAAGCACATGAATTCTGATCTGAGCGTCACATTAAGGTCGCATGGCCACGAATCGGATACGTATCTGATCTAGGACCACATATGAAAGTGGCTCAGGTCGGATTTGAAAAGATCAGATTTGTGTGTCCACACAGCCCTGAAAACATCAGATCATCAGAGTCACATTAGGGCAAAAAATCGGATTTGTGCCACTTCAACCTGGTAATGTGAACGTAGCCAGAGAGGTGTTTTTTCCCATTCTTTGACATTAGTTTTGATATTTATGGCCTAAACCAAAGGCCTATTTATGATAGTCACAGCCACTAAAGTTTTGTGTACAGTGTTTTGTAGTGCAAACTCAAACCTGTCAATACAGATTGTGAATCTTTTGTAATTCATCATTAAACAGTGTAATTAATTGTGTAATTAAGCAAATCCTTTTAAACAATAGTCTAATAACAGGATGACAGTGAAAGTCTACAATTCAAAAGGTAGAAGTCAAGGTAAACATCAGAGAAGAGAATAGAAAATAGGACAAACCTCCCACAACTGGCCCCTAACACCTGCAAAGGGTTCTCTTTTTCTTTTTCGCTTTCTCGCTGCCTTCCTCTTCCTGATTTTCCCCCCTATTAGTCACATTTACTCTCATACCCCTCCCCCCCAGACCCCTCCTCCCTCCCTCTCCCCCTCCCTCTTACTCTCTATCTCTCTCTCTCTTCCTCTCTCTCTCTCTCTGGGTCTGCGGAGTTGGACTCTGAGCCTGTGGAGCTGGCTGAAATGCCGCAGTAGTGGCGGATTTTTCCCAGGCTGCCCTGAGGGTGTGGGACGTGCGAGGACTGGCGGTGTGTGTGTGAGAGAGAGAGAGAGAGAGGCAGCGTTTCCTGGAAAAACTAACCGTCGTCACAAGAGAGAAAATGAGGGGAAGAGAAAGAGAGAGAAAGACAAAGAACTTGCTTCATTATGAAGTAATGCGGCCAAATGATGATTTCACATTATGTGACTTAAAGAGGAACTTGAGAAAATTCAATGATTTAGATGTAAAAAGTTTTCAGAGTGGTTTGATGTGATATTGTAGAGAAACTTAATGACACAGATTTCCTTAAAGTGGTGGTGATAGGAACCAGGGGTCACAATGTCTACAACACAAATATATTCATTTTATTCACTATCCAAAACCACTCGCTTTTTGTTGTTTTTCAGTTTTTGATATAATATGAAAATGCCTGTTGTTCTTTGTGTCTGAAGAGTGATAAAGAACGTAAGTTGCTTCTTACGTTCTTTATCACTCTTCAGACACTTTTCTGGTTCCTGTTACCACCACTGTGAGCAAGTCTGACTCAGTGAGTGTCTCAGAATGGAGCATTTCACATCAGCCCACTCCGAATGACTTTGTTTACATCTCAGCCGTTTAATTGTGCACAAATTTAGAAGAAATGGTGGAATTCCCCTTTAATAACCTACCACACACACCCATTCCCGAACACCCTCTCCCACTCCCTCATTACTCTCCCAGATAGCTGACAGGACCTTGGCATGTCCACACACACTCACACCAAAGTGCACGCACACGCACACACACACGCATACACACACACACACGCGCACACACACACACACACAGTGCTTCCCTTATCCCTCCCTGACCCCACTGACAAGCCAACACAGATGGACTCCCGGCAAGCACACGGCAAATCAGACAGTCCATGACCACACACACACACACACACACACACACACACACACACACACACACACTCACACACACAGACACACACACATTAAATGTGCCCTACCCACGTACCCAAGTTAATATGCTATCAGAGACAGTTTTGTCATTACTTTGTGCACCCACCTCTTTTACTTTTTCTTACTACACACACACACACAAACACACACACAAACACACACACACACACACACACACAAACACACACACACACATAAACACACACACACACACACACACACACATAAACACACACAGGCACTGTTCCTAAAATACCTCAACTGTCTGAATGCTGCATCTGAATTTAAGCTCCTTGGGGAGGGGGCGGGGCTTGGACAACTCTTTACAGCCCCTCCCACTCTGTCTCCGCCCACTCCCAGTCTGCAGCTGTCAGAGACTTCAAGTGGAAAACAGTACGGGCACACAATGCACTCACACACACATACACAGGTTTGTTTTTATACAGTGTCAGACACATGAGGTCATGAATTTGTGCCATATGTATTGTATATGAGTAATTGTATATTGGTCTGATTGGCTTTGAAATGTTCTACATGTGCTGTTATAACAAATACCCAACCAATAAGATTGTGTCATATCTATCTATCAGTCACAGGCTATCTCTCTCTCTCTATACTATATATATATATATATATATATATAGATAGATAGATAGATAGATAGACAGACAGATAGATTAGCCATAACATTAAAACACTGACGCGTGGGTGGTGTCTTAGTGTGTGTCGTGCTGGTATGAGTGGATCAGATAAACATCTCAGTGTCACTGCTGGATATCCAGCTAATTGTGTCCTGTGACCACTGATGAAGGACTAGAGGATGACCAACACAAACTGTTCAGCAACAGATGAGCTATCGTCTCTGACTTCACATCTTCAAGGTAGGAGAGTCTAATAGAGTGGACAGTGCCTGGTTGGTGCCTGTGACTGAATTACAGCCATGATGTGAAGTATTTACATGTATATATCACATATATATATATATACGTATACATAAAACTCGAGAGGTTGTGTGTAAGTGCTCTACTGCTTAAATACAACAGTTCATCTAAATAAAGAAAAATATTTAACCTAATTAACCTGAATGTGGTTTTGTTCCTGTCAGTCTGTAAAACATTTTAAATCCCATCTTGTTTACTGAATTGAATTCTGTTCATGTCTGACAGGTTCTTAGTTCGACGTAGGCCTGTGGTCACACTCCTGAGCTGCAGGTCAAATATCATCTTATAGAGATCATCTAATGTGTCCATTTTCTGTTTTTGTATGTGCTGAAGTAGAAACGTAGTAACAGATAGTGAGTCAACACTTGCTCAACCAGTGCTCAGCAGAATGATACAGCTACTGTGAGAAAATGCTGCTCGACCAATCAAGACTGTCTAATCGGCAACTAACTGTTGTATTCATATAAGTATCTATATGTAATATTATGTCCCACATGTTTGTATGTATGTTAGTATCTATATATGCTGCTGCCGGAAGAAAAGCTTGTATCTCCATTTTTGTCGTTTTTGACATCATTTCAAAATGAATGATGCTCTTTACATTGTGTGTAAATTTAATGATAAATGGATTAAAACAAATGAACTAAAATGACTTGGAAAAAAGTCTGGTTCCATTGACTTCCATTAAAAGTAAAGCAGGTTTTTTCCTTCTCCTTTAATGTTATCTTTTGGAGATATGAGGTTTTCTTCTGACAACAGAGAAATAATAATAATGTGGCGTCCAGCCTCTGCCTGCACTCCCACGTCTTCTTCTTTGCTGATGCTATTAATAATATTAAACAATAATTGGCCATGTCTCATCCCAAACCTAAACCTAACCATAATCTTAACCTTTATAACCAATAAAAATGCTTTTTCAGCTTTTCTCTTTGGTTTTATACAAAGTCCGGACATTTCTGTCCAGAAAATGTACAAAAACAAACTCACACAGCTGCACACACTCAT